AAAAAATAATTATTTATTATAAGAAATAATAATTTTCGCGGCGAAGATTGTGGATTACGTATACCTATTTTGCTGATTAATTTTTTTGACACCTATTCGACTTTTTTGGTTTGTATTCGAAAATGATATTTTGGAAACAGCTGCATGCCCCCCTTGCAACAGTCTCGCGTCCCCCCAGGGAGGCGCGCCCCACAGGTTGGAAACCACTGCCCTAAATAGTTCAGTCTTATCTCAAACTATTTGGTTTAGCTCGTGATGCATGAGAAAAAATGGTGAAGCGCCTGCTATCAATCAGTCAGTTGCTTTGTTAATCTACAAATCACTTAACAATAGCAGTTAGTACTGTGCTAGGGTTTCTTTTTGTATATACTCACTAACCAATTTTCAAGGATCCTCTGTAATACGCGCTCCGTAATCAATAAATGTGAAAATGAAACTTGAACATTTAAGGTAATAAAAAAAAAATAAAAATGTGAATAATGTAATGCCTGGGAGTAAAAAAAAGTTCTAAAACTGAACTTCTTAAAATGATTTAAAAAGCTTACTTTATTACATATTTTCTCTTTGACATAGGTTCCGTGGAACAAAGTAGCAGAAACCCTATCCCTTAAGTTCAGAGCAGCAACGGGCCGACCGTTGACAGACGAAAATCTTTGTTTTCTTGCACAGAAGGCTTTCAGGGGAAATTTTACAGATAATAATCAACTTCTAAGTTGGGCACAGTTTTGTAAAGAACCACTGAATGAACGAAATTTTACCTTTTGGGAATGGTTTTATGCAGTTATGAAGTTGACTAGGGAACACCTTAGGGGACCTTGGATGGATAAGTAATACATTTTTTTATTGTTTAACGTTTATTTGAAACGAATTGAAAACAAGGCATTTTACTGATAATATTGCACAATGTACTGCTAGGTTGATACAGTTTTTATTTTATTCATTTTTTTACAGTGCCATACTGGGATTTATTCGCAAAAAGCAAGCAGAAGAAATGCTTCAAAATTGTCCAAATGGAACTTTCTTGTTAAGGTTTTCTGACAGCGAATTAGGTGGAATTACAATAGCTTGGGTTTCAGGTAGGTGTATTGAGTTTGTTTACATATTATCTATCCCACGAATTAATGATCTATCAGCCAACTTCATGTACACTATCGTTTCTTACATCGACTAATAAAAATAAAGACAGACATAGAAGAGCGTAGTGAACTATAAACGACATACGACTGTAGAGTATAATTTGATAAACATACCATTAAAAAAATATAGTGCTTTGCTCTACCAAACACCGCTGCTTTTTCCTTGGATGAATAATATGTATTTATTAGCTGCGTTTATGTATAACGACTTAATAATATTGTTTGGTTTTATAGAAAATCAAGAAGTGTTTATGCTCCAACCATTCACATCCAAAGACTTTGGAATTCGATCTCTTGCCGATCGTATTTCCGATTTAAATCATCTTGTTAATCTTTATCCAGATATTCCAAAGGATATTGCTTTCAACAAGTATTATACACCTTTCCAAGGTAAGTAAATTAACTGTAGTTTACTGTTTTCTTATAATTAAGTACTGTAATGGTTTACTATACTATAATGTTTTTTTAATATCGTGTTTTTAGTTTCATATTTATTAGAAACAATTTTGCATGGTACCTCCTACAGTTCAAATTGCGGGTCGTATATTAATGTCAAAATAGAGTTCAAATGTACCTTATAAATTCAAAATATTCATTTTTTATTATAGTATTTTAAAATAAACAGTAAAATAAGTTGTCGAAAATGTTTAATAATTAATATTTCAAAAGCAACATCTGCAAACAAATTTTTATTTACGGTAACTTAACATGGAATTTCTTTTGTGTGGTAAAATACCGTTTGATGATATGTTGTAGAATAAGTAAAATTTCTTTTGGACTAAATAGAAAGAAGAGACTGTGGTAAATATTAATTAAAAATTAAAAGGAATACTCACCCCTAATTACCACAAATAATTTTATCAGTCTCGCGTTGATAATGCCCACGTATGTAGTGGGCGAAACACGTGTCCGCTCATATAAAATTATTTGTGGAAATTAGGGGTGAGTATTCCTTTTAATTTTTAATTCTTTTGGACTGGTAAAATGTAATAATAAAACTAAAAACTTATCATCATGCTATTGAAATAAACAAAAATAACTTATAAAGGTACTCTTGCTAGTAAGCAATAAACTAAAATTAGTCAAACACAAAAAGAGTGATGTTTGTTAAATAAATTGTTCTCAAATTAAATGTATGTTTAAAAGAGCATGTAGGTAGTCTGAAAAACTCAAAATGTTCGACAGGCCTGTATAGTAGAACACTGCATTACAAATGTTAACGAACATGAAAATATCCTAAAATTACTACATATGTAGGTGCACCCTTAAACAACAAAAAATTTACAGTACTACCAAACTCTTAAAAACTCTTCCAGCAGTTAAAATCCTGTTAATAATGATAAAGAAACTTTTACTTTCAGTAACACTTTTACTTATATACATATAATTGAGTTTTTTTTATGTGTATGCCCCACCCCTTAGCTTAAGTATAAAAGTCCTTACTTTAATTTGATTTTAGTTATATTTTTTGTGTTCTTGAAAATGACCAATTTGTTCGAAACAATTAAATGAATTAATGTATTACCTGCAGGTTTTTTATTTTGTGTTTATCTTTGTACATGTATTGATTAACAAATTTGTTTAAGTAGATAGTCAACCAACTACAAGCAACGGTTATGTGAGGCCACTGTTAGTAACACAAATACCGGGTTGGAACGGTCCGGCGTCCGTAAGTTACCCGAACACACCCCAACATTCGTTCTTACAGTCACCCGATCCAGGCAGAGATACTCCATCCGTTGCCAGCAGGTAAGGCATGTTTTTTTCTGTAGGTTCGGTAAACAAGATGCACAATTTTTTCATCGACAATGTAAATAAGTCAGTTTATGACGTAGGTATGGAAATTACGGCGCTAACGTCTGCTAATATGAACTTTCCACGTGCTCCGTTTTGTTTTTAAATAAAAAAGTAAAATTAAACTTAAGTAAAAACGAACACAGAGATACGACTATAAAATGCATTTAGAAACGAGAATATTGTTATATTTTTGGATAAATTNTCCTTCATAAGTTGAAATATAAAAAACTCCTAAAAGATGTCATTTAAGTGTTAGTCTTACTTAAATGTAGTTGTACATTACCACTAACTATTTGCACAGAAGACACCCAAAATCCCCTGTAAAGTCCAGAGAAACCTTCATATTTAAAAATTTTATAATATGCATCAAATGTTCCTAAAAATACATATATAAAGAAATATTATAGGCGTTTTATATATCTCTACTGACCTGAATAAACATCATTATGTTTCTGAATTTGTAATCGAGTCTTAATTAACGTGAGAGGGTACAATGCACAACGAACTGAGAAGGAGCTTAACATAGACAATGGGACAAATTTTGTTTTGTCCATCATGTCCCATTCTATAGTTTTTAAAAACTGAGGTGGAGGAGACTCTACCATATCGAATTTTTCTAAACGTATAATTTAAAACACTCAACTGTTACAGTATACCATCTTTTTAGGTTAGGAATATCAGAGTTAAAGACTACAATAATGCGATATTTACACTACCATAACACTTTTCCTTGTTCATTTTTTTTAGATAAACTAACTTTTAATGAGAGACATTATTAAAAACAAAAAATGTTTAAGCATAATACTACAGTTCTAGGTTGAAATTGACGTTTGTAATATTATTAACGTCATTGGGTATTTTTTTACTTTTTTAATTAATAAAATCATAGACAAATTAAATCAAAAATGACGTAATATTTTTCATGTGATTTCATGGCAGCCAACGCAAATACAAATTTTTACTGAAAGAAAAGGAGTGTTCATAAAAGTATCACTTCATTTACTCCTTTGAAAGTACCATTTTTCATGATCTTTAATGTAAACATTAAACAAACTTTGTGTTAATTATTTAAGATTGAGCTCGCCTGATTCTGGCATTATAACTACCTATAATATAAGTATAGTATATAGCTAATGCATCATTTTAGTGTTTTCATCCCAATTACAAACCGAATTCCTTATTATTTTCTGAAAAATTTCTTTATATTTTATTGTTCTGGGGTTTTATTTAAATTTTGAATGTTTCTATAATGTGTACGAAAAATAAAAATAAATGGATTTACATTTTATACTACTTGAATGACATTTACATATTATGTGAAGTTTTTGTATCTTGGAAATTTTGGTAAATATATCGTTTGCTTAAAATTATAAGGATCTATGTTACAAACGAACTTTAGAAAAATGCATTTAAAGTTTAACTGTGATTCAACTATGGTACCTCTAACGGTAATTTATTGTTAATATGCCTCTTTCTGCTAATTTTAAGAAACAGATTAGCTAATTTTTTGAAAATGATGCAAAACAAACAAAGAACCTTGATAGAAACATAGTGTCTCATGACATATAAGATATAACTAACTAACTATAATTCTAATTTTCTTAAATTTGTAACATTCCAAGCAAGCGATAGGCATATAAAAATGTCAACGTTTTCTGATTCGGTTTACAATAACTGGGTAATTAATAATAATAATGATTAAAATAATAATAAATGAGCACACATTCTTTATTTGTACAATTTCAATAAATAGCCGCTTGTAGGTATTATATTTCAATTATTGACATTTTAGATGGGAGCATATTGACTCTGGCTTATTCTTTTCAATTAATTAACTGTTAAAAATTCCTTTAGATTTCAACTTTAATATTTTTAACAATTTACGCGTTGATATGTATCTACATATATCTATAGATATGCAGTTATAAAAATGTTAGAAAGTGTTATTTGTACAATTGAATGTTTTAAAAATGATAAAATCAATGAAAATAATACAATATTACTAAGCTTCAGTCGGAGCTGGTGTTTCGGGGGATTCAGCTGTTTCTCCTTCCGTTGCTCCTTCATCTCCTTCACCTCCTTCGTTTTCGCCTTCAGTCGCCGGAGCTTCGTCCGTTCCAGCTTCAGCTGGCATTTCTGACCCTGCTTCGCCTTCTCCTTCTCCTTCACCGGCTCCTTCGCCTTCACCTTCACCTTCGGGGGATACTTGTGCTTGACCCTCATCACCTGCCGCAGCCTCCGCTTCGCCACCTTCAGCGGGTTTCTCACCCTCAGGAGCGGCTTCTGCTGCAGCGCCTTCCATAACTGGGGATGCAGGTGGTGCCGCTGAAGCTGCTTCTCCCTCTCCTTCACCTAATTCCAGTTTTTCTTTTTCTTCTTCTTCTTCTTTTGATGGCCGTTTCTCCTTTTCTGAAAGTCTCGAAATGCCGGGTATTGGTAAAAATAGGCGATATTCATTCGGCATCTCATCATCCCCATAAAGTCTGTCGGCAAAGTAAATTCGGCGAATTCTAATGTTGGCATGAATTTGAACTCTCATAGTTTCGATGTAGGTAGACCCTAAAGATAAGAGAAATCTACAAATCATTGTTATGTTCTGAACTAGTTTAAGGTTGATTGCAATTTCAACCATATTTTTTGTCAGTATTCTTCATTTCAATAAGCTGAAGAACAGTTTTTGATTCAGGAGTTGCAGCTTGAGTTTATAAGTGTGTGTTATTGTTATACAATGCTTGAGCATCACAAAAAAAAATCAATCATATTGAAGTGATCTTACCGTAAGCTCTACGTGTAAAGTCCGCCAAGTTGAATTGGACTTGATTCCAACCACTGCTGAGCCCAATGGGCATTGTAGTGCAGAAGGGTCTCACTTTTGTAGTCGATTGAAAATTTGAAACTCGAAATCGTCGGTGCATGTCTTTATCATCTGCGAAAATGTTTTCAATGATGGAAACCCTTGTTATATGAAATAGAAAAAAATGTATCTATACTGAAACCCGCAACTCGTTAAAAAAGGACCATCTCCAAATAATAGGAAGAGGTTCATTCGGAGGGGTAGACATGGTCATTGGCGGATTTGCCGTAAGGCCCAATAGGCCCGGGCTTATGGCGGCCAAATATTAAGGGCGCCAAATCGTGCCAAAAAAAATCACTGATGATAAATTCATTAATTATGTATCTGGTCTATAATGACGGGTGTTGAGAAAGGGGCTGCACATGGCGTGGGGTCTAGAGCGGCTAGGACTACAAATCCGCCACTGGACATGGTGAACCCTTTCATATGCATATCGATAGGCAGAAAGAAATACAATCTGATAAATCCAAGTTCGTAGTAACCCTATAACTCTATTCTCTTTAATTAACTTTAGATGATACCGTGTACATAGCTACAATAAAAATTTTTGTCGCGCATCATGTTTGAGAATTGCGCCTCAGTTTTTGGGAAGTTAAGTATTAGTTCATCAGCGTGGTGGAAGGAGTGCTCCTTTTTCTATTTGATATGATTAAGATTTTACAAGGTATTGGAAAAACGTATTGACCCCTGCTCACCCCTAATTACTACAAGAAATAAATATTTGCAGACACATGCTTCTCTCCATTTTTATGTGGGTAGTTTCAATGCAAGGATTTACGTCCTGAAGATCAAGAAGAATGATATATGGAGAAGTGACAGAAGGGGATGAAAATCAGCAAATATACCTAATCTAAAAAAAGTCTAGACACCATTAAAACCTGATCAAAAGTTGTGATTTTAACTAATCATCACGAATATATAACAGGAACTGTGATTATAGAAAAAGTAATAACCGATGTTATTTTACCCAAAAACCGGGGCTAATAATGTCCAAAGAGCTCAAATGTAAAGTACCAAAATATGCCTCATAAGGACCATGATGTTGCTAGGGTAGAATACGAGTTATGGCTTAAAATTAAAATTAATACAATAAATATCACCTAAGCCTTTTGAAATAAAGACATAATTTTGAATCAGCAAAAAAATTTAACAATAAGTGTAAAAACAATTGTGTACCAATTGAATATTAGGTACCAGGTGGGCAAGAACATTCAAAAGTTAGGCGTTAAAAAAGAGATTATCTTTTAAATCTTTCTTAAAATTAAATAAAAAACTAGGTAGAGTCTAACTCTACTTTGCGATAGTTCATTTTAAAGTTGACTTTACTTCATCTTTCAAATTCTCGATTAGTTAAGTCTTGAAAACAGGGGTGTATATGTTAAACCCGAAGACCGAAAACGTTCAGTGGCCGGAAAAAACGGCCACATCGCGTTCTGGCTGCCTTCGAACGCACAGAACGCGTTTTGGCTGTTTTTAAACGCTCGCAATGCGTTCTGGTAACTCTTAAACAACCGGAACGCGTTTTGTCAATTGTTGAACGCTCACAACTCGTTCTTAATGTTCGACTTGTATTATATGCCGCTTTCTACCTGCGTGCAATGAGATTTATATTGTACTTATAAAACAAATGAATTTCAATCCATTTTTCAGCTTTTAGGAAACAATTCAATTATTGACAACTATAATTTGATACCAAAGATGGGTTCACTTATATTGTCGAGACTCCTGATTTTTGCGCGCATTTTCAGCATGCTCAACTTCAGACAGGAACATAGATCTATCGTCACAACTATCAATAATTGGTTGGTAAATGATTCGGCGAGAAAAACCGAACCCATCTTTGGTATCCAATTATAGTTGTCAATAATTGAATTGTTTCCTAAAAACTGAAAAATGGATTGAAATTCATTTGTTTTATAAGTACAATATAAATCTCATTGTACGCAGGTAGAAAGCGGCAAATAATACAAGTCGAACATTAAGAACGCGTTGTGAGCGTTCAACAATTGACAAAACGCGTTCCGGCTGTTTAACAGTTACCAGAACGCGTTGCGAGCGTTTAAAAACAGCCAAAACGCGTTCTGTGCGTTCGAAGGCAGCCAGAACGCGATGTGGCCGTTTTTTCTGGTCACTGAGCTTTTTCGGTCTTCGGGCTTAACATATACACATATTGCCTTTTTGGGCTGCAGCACAGGCCTCGTGGATATAATGGGCCTTCTTTTAATAATCCCAACCATAAGGGTTCCAACTCTGGGATTAATCAACTCGTGTGCGTGATAATCGAATGAAACGAGGAACTCCCCATCGCTTATTTTCAGTATATTTTTTTTAGAAGACTAACAGACGGACCAAACGATCCAACATTATAATTCTTATACGAGATGAAATTTGCTGAATTCTCACTTGATCAGTGGAAAACCAGGCAGAACAATAAATATGTACAAGATTATGTTAACGTATTGTTCTTTTGCGACGTTTCGTTGGCTTAAGGTTTGTCAACCTCTCCAGGCAAACGATAATCGTGAAAATACTTGTAATAAGTACTATAAACGATTTCAGTTGTGAATTCAGTCAATTTTGTCTCATGTAGTACACATTTGTTTGGGAACATGAATGAGAATTCGTTCAACACATCGTCATAATATTTGTAATTGATGTTTTTCTTTTATATAACTATCTTAATAGTTCGTGAAACGGGAAAGTAATGAAATAAGGGCGATTGGCGAAACAAGAGTTCGTGAATTAGAACTAAACCGTTTTAAGTAAAATTGCTTTACTGAATTATTTATTAGGTACTTGCAATGTTATGTAATACGTAAGTCAGGGAATCACGGTAGTGTAGTCCCTTTATTTTTCCACCTAATTAGTGTTATGTGGCATTTAAAAAAGTTTAAAAAGGAATTATTAATTTTTTAATTGATTCATAATGCTATTATTAATACATGTACAATATCCTCCACAAACATGGTGATAGGGATCTTAAGGCACACTGAAACATCGTTTAATCCACATCAGTTTCGAAGTTAGAAATTGTTTTTTCATAATTGTGAAAGGACTAAAGTAATAGCGGTACAATATTTACAAAAATAAATAAATAACCAAAATACATTATTAGTTGGCCAATAAATCGTAAACCATCGTACAAGTCTAAAAATTTCTATTTAAAAAAATTGGATAACTTGGTTGCCTAAAACAATTTTCGCTCCTGGTAATAAAATCAATCCTCTATCAGTATTAGTTTAACGTTACTTGGAGTTTGACATAAATAACGAAAAAACAATTCTTAATAAAGATAAAAATTTATTAGACGCTATCCCCACATCTAAGATTGATTACCTGAAATAATCCGACTACAGAATTTAACTTTAATGGTAAGAAAAGTACTAAATGACTTAAAATTTTACATTTATTTACATGTATTCCTACATTTATCAATATTCATATTTACAAAAAGTTGATAAGATTTGATCTTAATGATTATTAATTTCTTGAAACTCTTGTTATTGTAATGTGGTGATGTATTTGGAAGTAGTAAACTAACTGATGAAATATCATTAACAGTTTCATGAAAAACTCGCCATTAGGTATTCTACTTTTATTATTACATAACACTAGATTTGTGATTGTATAAATAATTTTCTATTTCATAAAATTCGTCAACGTTTATATCTGTCATTTCATTAGTTAGTGAAATTCTGTTTCCCGTTGCGCGTTCCGTTTAAAAAAATATATTTATTACTATATCAAAAAACATTAAAATGCCTATTTTGGTGAAGGCGCTGGGAATACAAATTATCAACTTATTAATGTTATGTTTTTTTTTTGGATTATTTTAATACCAGTTAAATAAAGAACATTTAAATTTTGTGTATGTATATACTATACTACATTGCTATTTTAAATTAAAAGTAAAATAAATAATAACTTGATGATTTTTGTACGATGAACTTTTTCGATAGTTTCAAAAGTTTTCCGGAAAAACATGTACCTATTCTTAAGTAATTTAATTAATTCTTACACGCGTGAGCCGTGCGACAGATCATCCCGCAGTCTTTTTATTTATCGTAGAATGCCAAGACCTTTAAGATGATATTTGATATGTTCATCTTTTTGACCTCTGAGCAGAATTTTCAGAAACACCTTTTAATTATAGTTTGTATTAGTAGTAGAAATGTGCAAAAAGGTTTTTTAAAAAGTATTTAAATACAAAATGCAAATACTTTTTTGATGTGCTATTTAAAATGTAAAATACAAAGTGGATTTCCCTTTGGTATTTTAAATGCTTAAGGCTAATGATGTATTTTCAAAATACTTTTTTCAAATAAATACTTTTTTGTAGTACCTACCTATGTAATATTCTACATTTAATTAAGTATAAAATATTTTTTTAAGAAAACCTTGCAGGCATTTGTTCATTTTTTAAATATTACATACATTATATAAACATTAAGATAAAAATGTTCAGTCTCTCAGAGTCCCTAAAAGCGAGGCTCGAGTGTACGTCTCTCACCGAGTCTCACTGGTATCGCTGAAAGAGACTGTCGAGAGACTGTCAAAAAAGCTGTTTAGCGTCTCTGAACGAGAGACTCGAGTCGCTCATAGAGAAATCCTTATTTCGTATCCAGTCTCTGAACGAGAGACTCGAATCTCTGAACGAGAGACTCGAATCTCTGAATTAACAATTTTATCGTTCAAGTCTCTCATACAGAGACTGTGACAAATCTATAAAAACACCTATGCAATAACTGAGAGACTGTGAGAGACGTTCTCAGAGACGCTGAAAGACCCTGAGAGACTGATGAGAGACTGAAAATTTTTGTCTAGGAGTAGTGTTTGCACTACATCACCAGCTGCGAGTATGATTCATATTTTTCTATTTGAAGTGATTGAGATATAGTTTTTTTATCTTTACGTTATAGTTTCTTCAGATCAGTAACAATTAAATAATTCTTCTATATGCTTCCTCATTTATCTTTATCGTTTTAATTGTGAAAAAGACACTGATGCTAAAATAGTTTATTTTGCGTGAAAGATCACAGCTAAAGTAGGGTTGCAAATAATTTCATTGATGTAAAATCAACATCAATCATTTTATAATATCGTATTAATATATTTACAATCCCATTTTGTTTTCGATATTTTACACATTGTTATAAGAGAAAGAAATGAAATCCATAGTTTCTTTAGCATTGGGTTCATAGAATTTCATAGTTCCTTGCTAAAGGTACAAGTGGTGATTTGACAGGTGCTGATATCAATTTGGAACTTAAAAATTCGATGGACCATGACATTGAACCCGGAAAACAATATCGATCAAATATTTTAGATTTTTTTAATTTTTTGGGGTCTCTTTAGTTAAATTTTTAAGGTTCTATTACCTTCAATGGCCAATGTGAGCAACTATCATTCATCATTTTATATGATGTTTATTCGGTGATACTAGCAAAACATGCATTTTGCATTTTACAAATAGAAAATACGTCTGGAAAAGTATTTTATATAAAATACAAAATGCTTTTCACAAAAACGTATTTAAATGCAAGATAAATGCAACTATTTCAAATAAATCACATCTCTGATTAGTATTAGGCATCTAACTACATATGGTGCTAGTTTCACTAAGGAATTACCCAAGAACATTAGATACAAAATATGGAAAAACACAAAAACAAATTGTTAAAGGCAACACAAAAAGTTGTGCAGAACGAGTTCTTGAACGTAGAATTTCTCGTAACTTTTACGGTTAAAATTAAGATTACTAGAATAAGTTTTCGACAAAAATAGTTAAGATCAATTTCGTGCCTTGGATGACTTCCAGATAATTGATATTATATAATTTGTTGTTATTAAGTTTAACGCTAAATAAAATGAATGAAAGCAAATGCTTTATGTTGTAACGACTTTTTTTTTCTTGATCAATTTAAGTTAAATATTTTTGGTTTTTTTTTATTTCTGTCTATTTTTATCCATTCATTATAAATATAAATTAAATATAATGAATTTTTAAAACTGGCTTTTCATAACTTAACTAAGATAATACTTACTTACCGAGAATTTGTATTTCAAACGTGAAGTATCGTTTCAAGTTCTTTATAACCATGACTAAAAATGGAAGCTTTATGCCCAGAGAAGCTCTCTGTTTAATGGGACACGTGATATAAGTCGTCGCAACATTGGTACCCGATAATTCCAGGACTAATGATTTTACTTCGTCATCTACTATACGACGTATATGCCCGTTTTTAACCTATTAGTAAATAAGAATTAAAATTGTAGAAATATTAATGCTCAAACTCAAAATTCAGTAATTTTTAGTGATAACCATTGTCTGCTTGGCCCAAACCCAAAAAAACAAACAAGCGGGGACGAATTTGTCTCACATGTCGAAGGGATTCCGTATCCTGTCTTAAATACATTGTAAAGTATGAAAGTTTTAAAAACCAGTAATAATTTCGTTATATAATGAACTAGAAATATTTTTGCAAAGGTTCTGATTTGCAAATGGTCTCTAATAAAATGGAAGTTTTAAATATCCCTGTTGTAATTTATAACCCGAGAAGAAAATGTTGAGTCTCTCAGAGTTTCTGAAAGAGAGACTTGAATCTCCGTCTCTCATCGAGTCTCTCTGGTGTCGCTGAGAGACTGTCAAAAAAACTGTTTAGCGTCTCTGAACGAGAGACTCGAGTCGCTCATAGAGAAATCCTCATTTCGTATCCAGTTTCTGAACGAGAGACTCGAGTCGCTCATAGAGAGATCCTCATTTCGTATCCAGTTTCTGAACGAGAGACTCGAATCTCTCAATAAGTGGTGTCTCGATAGACATGGTTAAAATTTTCTAAGTTCAACATATTTCGGAGATCCCAGTATTTCTACGAGAGACTCGAGTCTCTCAATTTTTCAGTTTTATTCATTCAGTCTCTCTGTGAGAGACTCGAATCTCTGAATTAACAATTTTATCGTTCGAGTCTCTCATACATAGACTGTGAGAGATCCATAAAAACACCTAGGCAATAACTGAGAGACTGTGAAAGACTGCGATAGACGCTCTCAGAGACGCTGAAAGACTCTGAGAGACTGAAAATTTTTGTCTAGGGTAAGATCTATGATTTTTGTTGTAATAGGTAGCTTTTTGATTTTTCAAAAACTTTTAGTTCCGTAATTTCAGAAATAGTTTCTTCACATTTTTAAAAATTCTTTTGTAAATACTCAATTTAAAATTAAAAAAAAAAACCTCTTCACATACAGCGAAGGATTCAAGTAGAAGGTGGTAAAAGGGGGGAATTTTCCCCTCTCAAGAGCTTCGTGATTTATGGATTACTTAAGTATTGAAAAAAATGTTGTGTGGGAAAAATGGAATTAGAAAATTTGCTTCTGAAATTAATTTTTAAATGATCATTTGTTTTTGTTAATGTATGATTATTGTAAGTACATGTGATTTTTTAAATTTTAACGTTGTTCGGAGGTTGTCCTGTTACAATTGACTCAGTAGATAAGTCAGAATTTTAATATATCCTAATAACATCGAATTGTAAAAAATGCAATTTTTGACATCCCTACGGGCATTATTACGCGAAATAAAACAACATTAGGAGAGTAGTAATTTTCGAGGTACCTATTATGTCATTGATTTAGAATCTGGTCCCATAATTGTCTTACCACCTCCATATTTTGATATATTTCAACAAAAAGTCTTAATGTTTTTAATTTAGAGTGATTGAGATTGAGAGTTGAGAGCCTCTCAATATTTCAAGGCAACATTGGAATAGTATAAACAGTGGGTTGCTCGAAGTCAGAAACAAACAGTGTTACACTAATGGAAGAAAATAGAAAAAGTTGATACGAAGGAATAAGAATATTAAAAATGTGGGGGAACAACGGAAAACAGGAAATGGAAAATAAAAAAGAAAAGGGTTAATCCGGAATAAGAAAATAAGGAATTGAAAAGAAAAAATATAGAAAAACATGAGATGAAAAAATTGGTGTAATAAGGAAATTACTGAAAAACGGAAAGAAAATGAGTAAAAACAGAGAAAAAATAAGAAGAAAAAAGATGGGAAAACTTGGAACAAAAGAATAAAATAACAGTATAAAGGAAAAGGTGAAGTGACTAGAGAAGGAGGATAGTGGAAAATTAGAGGAACTAGAAAAAAGATTGAATGAATATGAATACGAAGAAAAAATGTAGGGAATGATTTAAAGGGAAAAACGACTTGAAAGCAGAAGTAAAGAAAATGGTACTACAGAAGCTGGAGATAGAAAAGAATGTCAGGAAACAAGCAAAGGATCAAAAAAATAACAAAGAAACTGAAAATGGAAGTGGAAAATAGAAAGGAAAAAAAAACAAAAAATTGGAGGAGAATAAAAAGAAGATGGAGCTGGAGGGATTTATAAAGGAGAATATGGGACTGAAGGTGAAAGTAAAAGAGGTATGGAAAAGAAGAATTAAAAAGAAGGTATGTGGGGCAAAAATGGAGAAGTGGAAATAAAAGCTACAGGTGGTTTATATGATCATATAACTGTGGAAGAGAGAAGAATAAAGAAGATTCTGACAGAAATCGTAAAAGAGGTGAAAAACAAAATATGGTCAAGAGGGTTACAGTTGGATTCAAGAAGATAATAATAGATGAGGTGGTATGGATATGGGATGATGAAAAAACGCAATTTGACGTAGTACCTAATGCTTACAAAGAGGTCAAGAGTTGCATGTTTTGGAATTTGAGATTATAATATCTCCAAACTCGAATCGCAAACCTAATGGTTGAAACCATTACTTTGGTGTGCATTCAGTCAAAGCTTAGAGACAAAACGTAACAACAGTTCAGTCTGGAGGATATTTCAACTACGGAAACTGACTTTGGACGTTTACGGAAAACCGAAATTCAGCTCAATTATTTCAAATTTTTTGATACTTTTGTTTGTATCATTTCTTATTCCTACTTCTATTAGATTTCAATTTTCAATTTCAATATATTACCAGGTATTTACAAAGTAAACCCTATAAAGATGTTTAAAACATGTGCATAGGTCCAGTGCAAAAGAAAAGTTAATTTACAATTCTAAAATGTGAAACCAAGTAAATGTAAAGAGAGAAATAAAAAAGGAGAAATGTATAAATATTGTTTCCTTGGCCACGAAAATTAGGTACTCTTTTAATACTTTTAGTCTTTTAATTCTTTGGGTAATGAATTGTAATTCCATATAGCCACGTATAAACTATTTTTTTCCGACGTTTTATTTTTGGTAAAGATATCATTTAGTTCCTGGATTATTTGGTTAGAGATAATCTGTAATTACTAAATTAAAACATAATCAAGACGCACTTTGGGTGCGTGTCTGAAATACAACACTCTAATCAATATTAATACTTATATGAAGCGTGTTGCATATTTTAATTATTTCATTCTAAGCGGTTAATATAGGTAGTCGGTCCTAAGATTGGTTAGACACGCACCACCATTGCTTCTTATCCTGAGCTAATCTTCGCATTTCCTTAAAACTAGAACATCCGACATTCTTAACTATTTGCGAACAGTAATCTAATCTAGGTCTACCTCTACTCCTCTTAACTTCAGCTTCTGACTCTAATTTGTCTCTGACTAGACCTTCATGTCTGAGAAGGTGTCCTACCAACCTATCTCGCCTAGTTTTTATTGACTTCCATAGAGTTCACTGTTCTCCTATTCTTTTTAATACCTCTTCATTTCTAACCTTCTCTATCCACTGTATCCTTATCATTTGCTTGTAACACCACTGTCCATGTTTCGCACCCGTACAGTACCGCGTTCCAAACATACACCTTTAACATCACTTTTCGAATTTCTAAATTAACCGTTCGCGAATATAGAAGTGACTTCTTTTTATTGAAGGCGACACGACCCTGCGCTATCCTCTGCTTTATATCCCTACTACTCCTTCTGTCCTGACTTATCTGACTTCCTAGATACCTAAAATCGGCCACTTCTTCTAATTTTTCGTCTCCTATCTTTATATTCGCTCTTTCCCTACTTTTTATTCCCTTACATACCAGTATTTTTGTTTTACTTTTACTTATTTTCATATAATATTGTTTTGTCAGCTATCTCAAGCCCCATTGCCAAATGCCAGTACTGCTATATCATCTGCATACTAACCTTTTACCCCTGTATATCTATCCCTACAGTTGTACTGTCTTTAATGATGTTGATTGCGTCTTCGATTTATAGATTAAAAAGTAGCGGTCATTTAAGCAGAAAAAAAAACAACTTCAAAACCTATTCAACTGAAACTGTTTAACAGCTATTAAATAATATTAATAAACATCGCGTACTTTAGAATTTATTTGTATAGCTGCTCCTACAGTATTGTATGTATATGCATTTTTTACGTACTGATTTTTCCCATAGCTGTAGAGGATTAGATCCCACGCTGTAAAATATCGAAAGGAAACCACTTTGAAATGTGTTGCTGAACATTTGGAACACTACAACTTCAAAAACTATTTGACATCCGTCAAGAGCCCGCGTCTAAACATTTTTTGACGGGTCGACACTCTGATTTGAGAATTTTTGACTTAATTTTCCGCCATGAGAATGTCCAATTTCCTCTGATCTTTCGCAGATAATGTAATTATATCTTCGGGGTCAAGGGGAACAATTATAACTTTGGAATATTCTCTAAATAGTCGTATGGCGTCCAGTACCCTGGACTGCAACAATTCCTGATACATTACTTCTAGAAGGTATAAAGTCCTGTTACGTTTCGCGTTTCTTGCATAACGTTGACGGCAAACAACTCTACTGTAAAGAGATGATAATATTAAAAAACTTGGTAAAAGTGTGTTTTACGACACCCTCCCGGCAGTGCTTCGAATATGGCAATGTTCTCAAATTAGTTATAATACGTTTGTGTTGTCTCTTCCTACCGTAACCATATCAGTTTAAGCACATCAGTCAAGTTGGCAGCACTGTGAATGTATCCTATTATTTGAAGCCAACTTCAGAGACGATGCCGTAAACTCTACATCCTAATGATTCTAATTATGTAAAAGTATTTGTACTTACTAGGGAAGAGTCAAGTTAGTGTAGCTTGGATATATACTGACATCTGACCTTGTCAGTTCGTTTTTGGCTACCAATTCATTCCAATAATGTTGGACTTCTGCTGGCATCGTCAATTTCGAGTGACGTGTCATCAATGCCATCGTGTAAAATTTTGAATTACGTATTCGTTGAAAAGAGTAATATCTATATACTTCACGTACTTAGATGCCTAAAGGTAGATGCAAATGTCAGAGGTTAAAAAAAAGTGTGGCCAAAAGTTCACATGTATTTTGACTTGTTGTCGTTGCTAGGATAGTAACGATCAATGAGAGAGGGGTTTAATTTTTGTGTGGCCTGACGGTAATAAACTTTCCGGACTGTTTCGTCAAAACTACGAAAGAGCTACGTTATTAAGGGTAGTAAAAGTCTGACGTACAAACTAGCATGTATGAATGTGTTACATTTCTGGAAACCAATAAATACTGAATTTTAAGCAATAGTAATAAACATGCAAATGCTGAAACCACATTAGGAAATATCAAATGTGTAGGTATAGTAAAAACTAAAATAACTGACACATTTTTATAGAATATCTATATATATAAAAGAACGTCGTCTTAGTTACACTCTTTATAACTCAAGAACGGCTGAACCGATTTGGCTGAAATTTAGTGGGGAGCTAGCTTAGAACCAGAAGAAGGGCATAGACTACTTTTTATCCCGTTACCATGGAAAAAAAGTGGTATAAGAAAACGCAACTGACAGTTAAACGTAATGTTGTCTATGGTTGAGTATGGTGTTTTATTTATAGTCAGATTTACCTAAAACATGCCTTTAATGCTTTTTCATATAAAATTAGTGACATACATACCTATTTAAAAATTTTACACAATTCTACCTCTTTAGGAAGCTGAAAGGGGTTTGCAAAGATTGCATGTTTGTTTTTGGTCTGATTTATTGGAAACTGCTTTATAAATTCAATATCTATTGGGGGGGGGGGGATGAGTGGTGAAAAGGAGTTACAATGTTTAAATGGAACATATGTTATTTGTCGTCAGATTCACTTGAAACTTGGTCTTAATGGTCTCTCATTTAATTTCTGAAAGACCTATCTCGACTTTTTAAAAAATTCAACCTCCATAGGGGGGCGGGGTAAAAAGGTGTTGCAATTTTTGTTTGGGACATACTTTACTTGTGGTTGAATTTACTTGAAACTTGGTATATATGCTGTTTGATATTATTAATCAAATGAAGAGGTTGCAACGTTTCTATGGGGTAGATTTTATTTGTACTCGGATTTACTCGAAGGTTGCTCATTGTTGAAATTATGTAAATACGTGTTTTGGCAATTTTTAAAAATCAACCCTTAAGGACGAAATGTTGTTGCTAAGTTTCTATTTGAAATCTAAGATGGCGACATTACATAAAATTAAAACGTTGTAAGGGTGAATTGGGGGTTAAAAGGTTTTATGGAGAAACAATATTAATTTCTGCGAGCGAAGGCGCGGGGAAAAGTTGGTATACTAATAAATTAAAACATTTATGTATTAGAGTTGTTCTCAATATTTTTTGATCTCACACCTCTCGAATTTGCTAAAGGAACCTATAAGGAAAACTGTACATAAGATGAAGCCAGTTGTTATAATTCGGGAGATAATTTGAGGCCACTTCATTTATGTTTGTTTTGATCAGCTGATTAAGTCACTCAGCTTTGGGTGTGATATTTTGCGCATATAATTTTCAGTACTTATATAAATATCATCGAACCGACGAGACTTGAACCTTGACGAAACTCGTACAAGTTAGAGTGAGTAGATCGGCTTGAGAGTTTTGATGATTTAGGGAGCCGGACCAAAGGTTTAACAATAATGGGGGGGGTTCTTAATGAGAAACCATACTAAGACAAGTCCCTGAAAGAGGGCAGCAGCACTTTCAGTACTCAGGGTGGAAGAGATCATGAGGATCGGAAGGCATTCTGATGCTTAGTACTGCGATGTGGAACGCAACGGGAAACCACCACATTATGATCCAGAGTAAAACGTACAACTATCTGGACTAGATTACTGTTCGTAAATATTTAAGGATGTGGGTTGTTCTAGTTTTAGGGAAATGCGAAGATTAGCTCAGGATAGCAACGAGTGCGTGTCCAACCAGTCTTAGGACTGACTATTTTATGATGATGATATAAATATCAACTGGGACTATCAGTTACTTCAGCGCATGTGAAAAACCTATCAGCCGGTAAGGTGAAATTTTCCTAAAATGAAAAATTATGCGAGGGAGGCGCATCTTTTGATATATTGTTGGTATTTTATAAAATTGGAAAATTAATCGACAACCACCTGATAATGAGAGACAATTGGTATATTCAATCACTCCATTTGCATACATATATATTATCATTTTTTATTACAAAAATCAACCTATTCACTGATATTTTTTAAAATAATTGGGTTTTATATCACAATGATATTAAAAAATGTCATTTTTGGGGCCATTCTGAGCCAAAAACATGGAGAGAACTCAGTTGGCCTCTTCATTTCTTCTCCAATGATGCTCCACCCAAATCATGCTTGTTTTTCTTGAAGAAAGGAAACACGTATCAATTGAAAGCTATAATAATTATATGAGTATTATTTGAGGTAAACATTTGCAACAGTTTTTTTACAAATGTTGCAAGTCATTTACAACCTCTCAATTAAACTGGCACAAACTTAGGTATTGTCCGTCAGAATTTGAATGCTCTCCATCAGATTTTGATGACATGGAATTAGCCGGTTCATGATGATGTAACATAAAATTTATTTTTAAAACAATTTTTTTTATATTATATATTTTCATGATTCAAAACAATATGCCAAAAATTTATTGACTTATGCCCATTTATATAGGCAATTAAAACCCAATTATCATAAAAAAATATTAATTCAAAAGTGAAAAGAATATAAAGTGGCCATTAAATTTGTGCGTCCATTGTAGATATTTTTACATGCTACTTGTTTAGAATGACCTTAAAAATGACATATTTTAAGGTCAGGGTCATTGGAGGATTGTAACGAAAACGGGTAATTACCGTTTATTGACTGATACCCAGTTCTGAAACTAAAACCCCGTTATTTTAAAAAATATCAATACTTCTTCGTAAAAATATTATAATATGCATATAGTACAAACTGAAGTGATGGTATTGAAAATTAAATACAATCTATAATAAATATCAATAACAAGTGACTGACGGTTGATTTTTCAATACTAGGGTCAATTGAAAAGTTCCCGGCTTGACACATAGATGGCGGCACCAGAACTAAATCCATATGATTTTCAGTTACTCTTACCTTCAAAATTTGACGGCTGTCGTTATTGGACCGTTTGAAGGACGAAATCGCCGAGAAACGACCGCATTTGCAGAAAAAGAAAGTCCTGCTTTACCAAGACAATGCACCGTCTCACAAGTCAGTGAAAACGATGGCAAAAATTCATGAATTGGGCTTCGAATTGCTTCCGCATCCACCGTATTCTCCAGATCTGGCCCCCAGCGACTACTTCCTGTTCTCAGATCTCAAAAGAATGCTCGTTGGGAAAAAATTTTCGTCGAATGAAGAGGTGATCGCCGAAACTGAGGCCTACTTTGAAGCAAAGGACAAATCGTACTACAAAAATGGTATCGAAAAGTTGGAGGATCGCTATAATCAGTGTATCACCCTTGAAGGGAATTATGTTGAATAAAAAAAACGAATTTTGCAAAAAAAAATGTGTTTTACTATTTTAGGCCGCGGACTTTTCAACTGACCTGTTACATTATATCAAAATTTATTCTCCATCACATGATTTTTCCAATTAAACACTTAATTTTTATGATTTTTCGGCCCTCTCGGAGTTATCCTCATCCGAAGTTGAGTGGTTGATACTAAGGGTGTTGTTTCGAAAAGGTCTTTAATTGAAGCAAACATAAATGTAGTGACCCTAAATCATAGATATTTTTTACCCTCATCTCCCCTTATATACTTGAACGACCAAAAAATACATAAATTACGTTTGATTGTTTCGTGTCTCCTTTGCGAAAAATCTGATGTACCTAATAATAAAAAGTACGTTTTTATTGTTATCTATCCATTACTTTGTGAGAAATCGGTAAAAAATATTTTCTTAATTTTTTATATCGAGCCTTAAAAATTGAGATATAGGCATTAGAAATAATAAAAATTTTAAACAAGATTTGTTGAAGGCTGATGCGGGACAAACAAATAGTAGTACATAGCTGTAGGCGTGTAAAACATACAAGATCTACAAAAGTGCAATTAAGTATATTTTAGAATCAAATGACGAAGTATTCTCTTAAGCGCCGTGTTTGTATTCATTCTTCATAAAAAAAGTCTGAAGTAGGCAACAAATCTGTATTACCCAGATACGTATGAAAACAAATTAAGTTATCATTTTTTTTTTAGTTTAGGTAGTTATTGCTAATTGTCATCATGCTATTTTTTGTTAAAACTAACAATTTTGGTGGAGGCGCCAGGAAAACGTAATCTTTATTACCATGCTGAGGATCATCTTAATACATATTACGTAATAAGTAGATAGCTGAATGTTGCTTGAGTCTTAAGCTTGGTCTTGCTTTGCTCATCGCTAGGACATCTATGTTTGGGTCTCAATTTGCCATTAGTGCATATGCAGTTGGAATTACTTAAAGACAGAGGTAAACTATCGAAATTTTCGAATAAGAATATGAAGCTGAGACTTTGTCCTGTCAGCAGGACGGTTCGGTCCTTTTAACGGAACGATATATATTAGAGGGAATGGGTCCTTTTGGCAGGACTAATTCCGCTGGCTAAAAGTACTACCTGAAGTGCTTCCAACATCGAGCAGGATAACTAAATATATTTATCCTGTAAATAATAATTAGTGTTTTTTGTGCACTTTAACATTAAATAGTAATATGAGTACAAAAACATACTTCATTACAAGTTCTTTTTGTCAATCAGGCCATATTCAAAAGATTCATAGGTGTTACACCTAGTAAATTTTATCTTTATCTGTTTCAAATTGCATTTTGACGGTAATGGGTAATTTATTAAAAATCTTAATGACTACTGTAGACGAATTTTTAGGATTTAGTTAATAATCAAGATTTATTGCGTGTGGCACTGATTGTAGAGTTGTAATTCCTTATTAACTCTAGTGGTGAATCGATTACTAAACGTAGGGACATTCTATTGCATGCAATCATCAAAGGTCGGCATCGTCATTTGAAAAATTAGTCATGGTGAAGGAAAATTCGTACAAATACCTTCAGTCTTTTTTGACGTGACAACGTCTTATAATTTGATGGAGCCGGCTGCACGCACGAAAAAGCATGACTCATGCGGCGTTACCTCGCTCTGAGGCGTTCCATTTAATGCTTGAAGTGCAAGCGAGAGCGCGGAACGAGCGACAAAGAGGCACAATCGGCCTCCGCGTTCGGCAGCATTCGACATCTGTCTCTCTCCTACTTGAGTGAGCGATGCGTCCGCGTGGACAGCTGCTATACAATAATACATTTCCATTTACCTCCTTCTCTATATCCATACAAAATATCTATCAAACAAATAAAATTAAAATTTTCTTTTGAAAAATGAAACCATTCCATCAGTATTTTCTTATGACGTTGTCACGTTCAATTATCGTCAGTAAACCGACTTTACGGACAACCGATTTTTTTGTACAAATAATAAAGAGCAATAGGTAAATGCAATTTAAAGCTTTTGAGTAATGCTACGCTTTGCCCAAAATTGAGAGTTTGATAACAGTACAGGCGAATACAGAACAGAACACAAAGATATTCTATTGCATGCGATCATAAAAGAGCGGCATCATTTTTTAACGACGCCCAAATACCTTCAACCGGCTATTTATACAGACAATAAAGTAATATACATCCAACAAATGCAATTTAAAGCTTTCGCAGGGTGTTACGCTTTTTGCTCAAAAGATTTTGAAAGTTCGGTTATTTAAGGGCGGTTTTCAGAGAACCAGGTGATATTTTCAGATAGTGGTTGAAAAAGTATATCCATATGTCTTCCAAATTATGGATTTTCGCGTGACGACAAAGAAATGTGTAATTTCTATTTTGCCTTGTTTGCTTACGACCAAAAAAGGTTTATTATTTTTTGCTTTTTAGTTTTTTCGGCGGTTTAATTTTTTTGTTAAAAAGTTTTTATTTTATAACTTCTTATGACTATAATCTACTAATTACTACTACTATTTTCCTATTATAAATCATCTCCTGTTTTCCTACCCTTAGGGTTACATTTTTTTCCCAAGTTCATATGGGATCAACTTCGGGGTATACCCTTTCCAATGAAAAAAGAATTATCAAAATCGAACTATTCTGTCAAAAGTTATGCGTGGTCATACATTACTGTCAGTGAGTGAACAACAATCAACAATCATCCCCTGTTTTCCTACCCTTAGGGTTGGAATTTTTTTCCAAATTTATATGGGACTTCGGGGTATGCCCTTTCCAATAAAAAAGAATGATCAAAATCAGACTACTTTGTAAAAAGTTATGCGTGGTCATACATAAAAAAAAATATACGCGTCGACTTGAGAACCTCCTCCTTTTTTTCGTCAGTTAAAAAATACTGATTTCCGTTACAATTAGATAAGAAAAATTTAAAAATATCCTTGAGTATTATACGAAATTCATAATTCTCATTAAATAAGAAAAGCAATTTCGTAGTAATATTTATAGACTCAGTGGCCGACTATTACTGTCGATTGCTGTGCAAGTCAGTAACATTTTTTTATGCTGAAGGAAAAGGACCATTTTATCCTTTCCGAGAATCGTGACTGTTTCCGTTATGGTTACAGGGTAATCACAATATCAAGCAGAAGTCGATACATGGTCTCCAAATATCTCCAATACCGCTAAAGCCGCTATTGCTACCGGACAATAATTGTATCGCACAAGTGGGGGTGGTTGGTTGTATCGCCATTTTTAGGTTTCGATCCTCGATCGCGCCTTGTCGGCGCCCATCGTAGCACACACTCCGTAGTCGTGCGCATTTCGGGCTACGCGCCACACGACAAACCAGCAGCTTTGTGTTGCCTCTGCTGCACGGTTTTCGTTCGGTGTCTACAACGATCGACTGATGTTTATAGCGTGTAGTGTTTCTGTTATCGCTGGATGCAATTGTTACTATTGATTTAAACGAAAAGCTGCTGTCGCTTTCGAACGCAGTCGACCGCGAACGCTAGCTGTTCAGCATCATGCAGCGTGTATCCGGCGCAATTTTTTGTACGAGATTTGTGTCAGTGATTGCGGGTTTTTAAAATCGGCGGGTGAAATTATTAAAACAGTCGATCTAGTGGCGTCTAAGGACACCGTTTCTATCCAATAAGTATATTCTAATTGGTAAGTTCCGACTGGCCGGATACAAGACGATTTTGGCGGTGATAGTACTATAAGCTCGCGAGGTGGAGGAAAAGCTCGGAAGGGCGCAGCGCCGCAATCGTGCTCTCTCTAGAATAATGTTATTGATTTTACGTCCGTGCTAGGAACTATATGAGCGAGCGCTAGTGCGTGCTGTCTGGGTCTTTCCCCTCGCTTGAAATAAGCACACGCACATGTATTGTCATACTTACAACCCCCCAATTCAGTGTCATTGTTGCAAATTTTGACGTGAATTTTGATCGTTCCGACGTCTGTCTCTTTGGGCGTCAACTTTCAGAAAGATATAGAAAACCGTGACTCGATACTGATTCCACTGTAGAATTACCTACATACTTAATAAAGATAATCGATTGACAGGTAGCCATAATATTCTTAAAGCCTATTTTTACAATATGGTTTCTAAGAGGTTTGAAGCACAGTCGATTTCTAAATTTTAGTTATATATTTGCTAATAAGAAACTAATCCGATTTGGATTGAATATTCTCTGAGTAAATACAATCACTTACTTACTTACTTATTTTAGGCAAAAAATGCAGCAATCTTAAACAATAATGAAATTTAAAATATGGTTCATGTCTGTTGATAGTATCTCCGTTTAAAGCTTTTATTTCTCCACTGTGAAAGGTTTAAAATCGAAATTAATGGCTTCTGCTTTTTATTTTTCTTGGTTTTAAAGACGCTTTTAATTGGAATTTCTTACTCTTTTTATTATGATAGTCATAAAATTATCGTTTAATACTACTATAAAATTCAATAATTCAGAGACTTTTTTGTAAAATAAATGTATTATTTTTTAATAAAAGTGCAGATTTTATTTGATTTTTTAATTTTTCCTTCTGATATTGAAAATAGAATACTTAAAGATAACATCTAAATATCAGAATTTTTTCTCTTTCTTATTTCAGGTACTCAATGTTCGGTTCATCACAATGAAGACGAAGACGAAGATGAATTTTCTTCTATTATTAGTTGCGGTTTTCGCGTTTCGGGTTAATAGTTTAAAGACTGTGTCAGTTATACCTCACGATGCTCACCCCGGTTACAGTATAAAGACGTTCGATCCTAATTGCGGCATCAATTATCACTTAATGGAGTCAGACTTTTCTCAGTTCTTCGCGTTAGTTGAAGACGGCTCCGTTATGACCACTTCGGATGTCAGTCCACTCGTGAATCGGCCCATAAATCTCGTGGTTCTCGAAGAAGCGAACAACAACACTATTAAACACAATTTACAATTGTACGTGTTGGATAGGCGGAACATGCTTAGCTTCAACGTTGATGACTACGAAGATTCAGGACACGTTACCGAGAACAATCCTGTAGGGACCAGAGTCTCAGGCATTCCTATGCTCACGGCTGCCAGGGGATTGATTTCTACGCCCGTCAGTTACAGTATCATCTCTGGAAATACAGCCCAGGCCTTTCAGCTTCAAGATAGTGTCACATTAGATATACTACCTAATGTTACTGTTACGAATAGTTCTGCTGGAGTTTATGTAGTCACATCCCAGGTTCTTGATAGAGAAGAAAACTCCAAATACATTCTCACGATCCAAGCCGTTGACTCCAAAGGCATCGATAAAGCTGTGACGCATGTTGCAGTTGAGGTCGACGATGAGAACGATAATTGTCCAGTGTTTACCCAGAAAGTTTACCGATTTGTTGTGGGAGACGGTGACGGTAAAGATGCTGATAATGTTACCACGAGTTGGAAGCGGTTCGCGTCTATCGGGAAAGTTGAAGCTACAGATGCCGATGGTGATAAAATAGCTTATCGCCTGGTCACCCCAAGCAACTTGCTTGTAATTGTTCCGCAAACTGGCGATTTACTTTTAACTGAAGAACCACCTGTCGAAGTAGATACCGAGTTAGTAGTTGAAGCTCATGATCTCCGGTCACCAAGCTGCACGTCTCCTCGGCCAGCCCAAATTCTGTTTCATTATAAGCCTCAATCCAAAATCGAATTGGATTTGGACTTGCAACGACTCGAACAAAGGGAGTTGAAACGTGATAAACGGAGGGTGACCCGAGCTGTTAGGCCTACGAAAAGGATAGAATTCACCGAGGCTGATGGTGACACCGAAGGAAAAAGTGTGTTTCAGTTAGAAAAGGAAACTGACAAAGAAACTTTCAAAATTCGAGATGAAAATCCTTGGGTGACGGTGGAACCAAACGGATCTGTTAGAGTAAAAAAGAAGTGGGACTACGAAGAACTAGGACCTGAAAAAACGATAGACTTTTGGGTCACAATAACGAACGCAGAGAAAGGGGGTAAGTGTTGAATTTCATACTATGTACTTGGTATTATATCCGTTCCGTTACGAACGAGTGTCGTGTTTCCTCATACAAACTTATGCAGCGAGAACGTTTTGCTACCGTCCCCGGTGCATCGTTTATTATAATAATGCTCCTTCGGGTTCTGAAGTTAATGGCTTTAGGAAGCAATTTTAAATGATCGCTGGATGAAAAACTGCTGCGATGCTGTTCCCTCTCAGACATGCCGGCTAAATATTCGTTAATTTTTTAGAAGTATTATCTAATACAGCAAAATAATTTGCTTTCGTAATTTTGAAGGAACTAAAGAATATTAAATATGAAGATTGGAAGAACTTTGGCGGTTGTTGTAGAACAAACAAAATAGCTCAAAACCCCAACGCCAAAACACGACCCTGTAGTTGTTCGAAACACTTTTCGGTAACAAGGTTACCTTCTTCAGGGAGTGAGTTCACTTTGGCGTTGGGGTTTTGAGCTATTTTGTTTGTTCTAAAGAATATTAAGTATGGAAAAACTTTGGCGGTTGTTATAGAACAAACAGAATAGCTCAAAACCCCAACGCCAAAACACGACACTGTAGTTGTCCGAAGCACTTTTCGGTAACAAAGTTACCTTCTTCAGGGACTGAAGTAAACTAAACCTAAATGAGAACTAATCCTAATTTATACTGATAGTTGTTAAGGTTCAGTGAACATGACCCGAAGCCAACAAGGTAGATGTTCAATGGACCTTAACATCATCATCATAAACGTAATTAAACTAAACTAAATAGCGGAGATCCAGGGAT